ATAAATTTATTTGAGTAATATAGAAATTTTATTAATATTGCCCAATAAAATTATAACGTTGACGCATTTAAAAAGAAAAGTTCATATAAACTCTTGTACTCGTACGTACCCTTACTTTTCTGCTGCGGGCACGATATACAATCATGTATATTACCGGAATATTTGTTTTGAACATACTAGGTATATTCACCTGCACATATACACAATATGTACATACCTGGCATGTTCATCTGCACATATACCCAATATGTACCTACCTAGGATATACTTTTTATGAACTGTGATGAATATACATGCATGTATATTCCACGAGCATTCATATTAGGAATGTTCAACCATGTATATTCCCAGGATATTCTCGCAATGTTCTGTATATTTTTTGAACATTCTGGGATATTCATAGAATATCAAATGCTATCTGGGAAGTTAGGTCAGATCGTCCTCTTTTGAACCAACATACATATACCAGTACTGGTTCGATCATATGCTTATGCGACACCCTGTTTATAATCTATTTTACTCGGATTCTTCTAGTAAAGCCAATAGCTTTGCGCCAGCTACCCCTAAAAGTGAATGGCGTGGATTTCAAATCTCAGTGAATAGACAGTGTAATTAAATATTAAATATTAAAAAATATTAAACAAATTGATAAAATATGAACTATTTAATTAAATAGCTCAATTAATTTGCTTTCAAACTTTAATGTTTATTTTTACCCTATTATATCACATTGCTTTTTAATTATAGATAGTAGTAGAAAATTCTTCCCTCCATAGCAAAAATTGAAGCTAACAAATATTTAAAGAAAAATATGCACACTTTTAACAAATTTTACATGATCAAATAATAACAATACTAAGTCGAATAGACTTAATTTAATGATTAGTGTGTATATTAATAATGAGTGTCCTACATAATAAAAATGTTTATTAAACTAAACTTTTAAGCGTGTTTTGATACATTTCTTAGGTCAATCCGTATACATCTCCGCCCTTCCGGTAATCAGCATTTGCAGTTATTTTTCCGTTTTCTTTCTTAAGCGCGCAAACAATTGATGACAAATTCCGTTGCATTTTGTGGCCTAGGGCTTTAAGACCATCCAAAACTTGCTGAAAAAACAGAACATTTATCAAAACTAATGTCAATTCTTCAGTTCTATTCTTCAAATTTGTCAGATTTAAAATTACTTGATATTTATAAGTAATCTCGCTTCCTACCTGTAACACGCCATATTCATACATTATTTGCATCGGATAAAGCTGATGATGGATTCTGGGCGCATCAACAGCTTCCTTAACATTTTCCTCAAACCACAGAGATCTAATGATGGTCTGTGATGAAAAAGTTTGTAAGTTAATACACGAGTTCATAATACCAAGAGTGCAATTTTGCTGTTTTTGTTAAAGATAATTCATTATTATACAGTCTGTTTGGTAAGCCGATGCATTCATTGCAGAAGGTGGCAGTATAAGTATGGTAAGCTAGGAGATGTGCTTTATTGAGTCAACACCACCTCTGCTTTGTACAAAATACAAATACAAAGTCTCCCCACATATTCGCGTCAGACTCCCTGGCCATAGTTTTATAGCCAGTAATTCTGCCTTAAGGTAAAATAGCGGTGCTTCAATCTTCTTTGTTCCTCGCACTTGCCCCAATGTGTGATAGTTTTTTCAGTTTAAAAATGATTTGTTGCTACAAAAGAAAAAGCGGAAAGGACAGAGACTACGTACGGCAACCTTTCACCGCGCCCTGCAGAAGATAAGAAGAGGGAGTATCACCATTGATCGTCTACAAAATAAGCAAAATAACTATTTTATTTCCATTTTTTAAATTTTTATTGTGACCCCTTTATTTTGGGGTCAGGCAAATCGCGTTAAATACTTGATTCATTGAAAAATCATGATTTCGCCGAGGAATCTATGGTATGATTTACATTTACAGTGAGTATAGACATACTATATCTCCATAATATATCATATTCCCAGACTTTTAAGCTATTTCACCTTTTCATAAACGTATTCAATTAAAGCTAAATTTTAACGGAATTTTATTTGAATTTCCCTATGAAATAATCTAGTTAGTAGGTACAAAGTTCGAGATGTGTTAATTGCAGGCAGCCCCAAATTCGGTGGCGATTTTATTAGCTTATAGAGTTTCGTATGAAAACTACACTCCCAAAGTCTGTATCTACTTATGCTATAACCATGGACGGCTATAATAATGCCGAAAGTTTCATTTTCTCACATAGCAGTTAAAGAAATGACAATTTTAACATCCAGAGGGTGGGAAACTAATCAATCTTGGGAGATGACTTATCAAGGAAATATATCTGAAACTACTGGTTCTATTACCTAAAACCTCTCGCAAGAAATGCATCGACTTAAAATATTTCAGACTTGTAAATACGCATGTTTTGAACAATTTATATATTCTTACCCAAGCCACTGTTGAGGTAATTACCGTGCCTCCCGAGGCACCGACAACCATTTTTGCATCCCCATCTTTATCAACAATAATCGTTGGACTCATAGACGATAATGGACGTTTTCCCGGTTGCATTTTGTTGTTTGGAGATCCCGGAAGCCCGAAGTAGTTTTTGAAATAGGGAAAAGAAAAATCGTCAATTACGCTATTGTAGATTATCCCCGTCTGTTTTGATGTCATTCCATTGCCAAAGCTAAAATGAAATAGTACCAAATAAAAACAATAAACCAGATAATAGTATGAACCCCAGGCAACTAAATAAACGAAATTTAAAAATTTTAAATTTATGACAAAACCTATTTCTATTTTAAACTAATCGTGTTCTTCCATGTAAATTGAAACAATTTATAAAATATACAATCTTCATTTGAAGTATTTATTGCAACTTATCAACCAGTCCCATTTTGGGCTTAATGCTGAGAAAGTCTTACATTAAAAATTCTGCATAAATAAGTACATTTATCCAAATTTGCGAAAATAAATAATTAACAATATTTGCTCGAAATATGCAGGGTCATCCAGAGGTATATGTAAATCTTGAAGCAGTGCATTCTATCAAATAAAAATGTACAAAGAGTTCCTATCAATTCGACCCTCTAAATGGCAAATAATACTGTAAGGCTTGTTTTGATTGCAAGGAAAATGAAAAGTATGATAATTAAATAAAACAAACAAGATATTTTGATTAAATTTCGAGCAACACGTTTTATGGAGGATTTTTTAAAACTTTATAAATTTAGAATATTTGGATATCTACTTACAAGAGATTTATGGAACTGGTGATGGATATGGCATCACCATTCTGATCTATAATCGAAATATGGGCAGTCCCATGATCGCCCTTGTCGTAAAATACGGCACCGTAGTGTTTTGGATCTTGAAACGTTGTATTATCCATTATTTTACTTCTTATATTATGTGCGTATTCTTGTGACGTTAAATTTGATAAGAGCTGAAATAATAAGAATAATTTCAGTTAACAGTAGTTAAAATATTTCTATATAAAGTCTTAATTAAATCAATATGAAACATTAGCATGGACTTTATCATGTGTTGATATTTTTGTAAAATAATTTTTTAATGTATGTTTCAGATGTTTTTTCTGGGTTATTGAACGTATATTATATTAGGTCGATTTACGTTGTAGCCGCATAGAAAACCTTTTGTAGTATTATATTAAGAACTCTAAGGAAAAAAATCATATAACGTTCTGCATGGTGATCAACGTAAAATGTAATCATGATATATTATTTTCTCTAGCTCCGTAAAGTAGCCTTTCTTGACAATATCGAAATTTATCAGAATAAGAAGTTGATCAGTATTGAAACGACCATTTTAATTTATAATTATATCAATTTTTTGTCAAAGAGCAGGTTTTATTAATTTTAATATCTTTTGACTTTCTCGAAACTTTGCTGGGCAATTCAACATTCTATATAAATTCAAATTTTATATATATTATCTTTTGTTCAATACTGTTTAATGGATGCCGTTTGTTTATTAGAAACGCTAGAATATTTCAGTTTGTTCGCATTCTTTATTCGATTAGGATTTTACTTCTTTCGACTTAATGATTTTTATGCTATTGTTAATTCAGGTATTATAAACTTTTGAAGAACTATATGATTTTTTTGCGTCTGCAGTCTTGCGGCCCTAACGAACGTATCTTAAAAACTTGGATTTCGCTCTACCTAAACGTTTTCGTGCAAACATGATGTAGCTAGAAAGGCATTGAATCGACTTTTTCGTTGTAAGCAAAATCAGAATTACAGCTATTCCTTGTAAGCAGCTACCAAAAAACTTCTTAATTTTTGTACTGTAAAGAAATGGTGGTAACGGGTGCCATGAGCTTCACAATCACATCAGCACAACAAGCAGATTTATTCTTCATTGAAAAGCTCATTTTGTTGCAAATGCTCTTTAGGTAGTTCGCTTTTTGAGCTGGCTGTTGTTTTCTTTCGATTCTTTATAACCGATTTTTTTCCCATGATTCCAGAGGTAAACACCAAAATATGGTGATAAAAGCGCAATTATCTCCGTATTTTTCATTGGATTCTCTTATCAGAACTGGAAACTTTTCTGCCACGCTGTTTTTCAAAAACCATAGAAATGTGCCCTGATTTAGTTACTTGGGAATTGCAATATCATATTTTATGATATTTTGGATGATTTCAGTCCGAATATTAATTGACATTTATTCTTGTGAATTTGAAATTTCGCAATTAATTTGTATTTTCTTCACTCCACAGTGTCCAAACTATGAATATTCGCTTGTCGATCGCTTTTTAGTGAAATAACGTTCATCGGCAAATAGGACAGCCGAAAAAAGGTTGGTGGGTTCTAAGCGACTCTGCGTCATTTTCCGGAATGTTTGTGCGGCGAGACAAAAACCTGATAATTAACGGTAAACATTTTTTGAGAATCGTTTTTTTCAAATTTTAAAATTGTTTCAAGTTGAGTCAAAGTTGTTACTGATATATTTCAAACTATTTTCTCCAGTTCTAGAGAATATTATCATAGAATATTGATGGAAAATTGCTTTGTAAGTTTTTGCTCAGAAACTCTCATAGATACAAAAATTCAGTAACCAAACGTTTCTAAATCGAACAAGGAGTTTCAATGTTTTTAAAGGTACATTCATGAGCGCAAAACACGATAAACGAAAATAGTTTTCGCTCTTCAACACTCTAGGTCAGTAACGGAGCATTTCCTGATTACATTTATATGCACTTTGCACTCCATTTTACGTTTACGGAAATTGCATGATTTTTGTTTTAGTTATGTTTTTCCGATTCAACATTTTCTTTAGCCATATACTCACATCACTTATATTAACAAAATTCGTATCTCCTAGTTCAGTTCTTTTGGCATACGCATATTTGAAAGCCTCAATGATTCGATGATAAGTAAGTACTGTCGAGTTCAAATCTTCTATGTTGTCCCTGTCGAACTGGTAACCGTCCAAAATGCCCAGAATTAAAGTTAAAATAGCGCCGGAACCAGGAGGTGGAGATGTGTAAACGGTTTCTTGAGTGCTGAATTTTATGCTAATTGGGTCCATCCACTCTGCCCTAAAAAGAAAATAATTTAAAAAGTTTATCTTAAAACTCTTTTGCAATATTAAAAAACGTTTATATTAAAACATAAATTAAGAACAGCTTTTGCTAACCTTAACTAACTTAGCAACTGAGTTTTCGCAAAACCATTCATCGATATTATTATTAAATTTTCATACTCACTCATATTTTTCTAAATCTTCGGATGTGATTATCCCTCCAGCTTCTTTCAAATCATCCAAGAACATTTTAGCTAGTGTACCATTGTACAAGTCATCTCCACCATTCACTGCGATCAAGCTCAAAGTTTTGCACAACTTCGTTGGCACTATTCGCGAGCCATATTTTTTATATTCGTTGTTTTTATCTTTGAACCATTCGCTGCAATTAAATAGCATAAATTAAGTAGAATGCGACGTTAAAATTCGTTCCAGCAATTACTTGAAGTTGGTATCTTCATCATCTAGCTTGTTTTTGAAAAAGGCATTGTATTGATGTTTGGTCATGATGTAGCCTTTGTTGCACAAGTCTACAGCAGGTTGAACCAGATCTTTCCACTCCAAGGTGCCAAATCGCTTATACAGTTCCCAGTATCCTTTCAGTTCTCCTGGTACTGCTACAGCCAAAGCCCCTAAACATCCCAACATAAATATATAAATATAAAAATTAATTCCTGGGTTTCAGTCATTTATTGTCTCTATTTATCAATTAAAATACGTTTCGGTGTATTTTTCCACCATCATCAGTTTTTATGTGTAGCGTTTAAAGTAGCAACAACGCTCAGTTTTTATGTGTAGCGTTTAAAGTAGCAACGCTACCTATAAAAACTGATGATGGTGGAAAAATACACCGAAACGTATTTTAATTGATAAATAGAGACAATAAATGAAACCCAGGAATTAATTTTGATTTGGAATTGAAACACAGTCAGGAAAGTATGTACAATATATAAATATAATAATTCAACGATTGAAACTTGTAAATTAAAGAGATAAAGTTTAACATTAAAAGGACGTGTATTAGGTAATTTTTTGGTCTTAATATATTTTCTTTATTTTATTTATTGTTATGGCTTAAGCTGTAGAGCCTTGCTGCTCCAATTATGTATATAAGGTGTCTCCTAAGCGCATGATCAAAAGGATATTGCGATATTCTTTGTATCAAAAGAAGACGATCTGAGCTAACTTTTATTAACAAAAAAATGGCTGGCTCCTCTGCTTCGTTTCGCAGGACCTTTTCTAATGAAGAAGTGACCGACATGTTCAAACTATTATTAGGGTTTTGCGAAGAGAACTTGCGTGAAAGCGTACGCGTAATGTGTAACATTATTAAGTCGCAAGAAAACAGACATACTTTTATGTGCAAAAACTATGAATGCTACAAGAGTTTACAAAGAGCACAAAATTGTAAATTAATGATTGGTGCATCAACCAAAAAAAATGAGTTGATTCCATCAGCCAAATAAAAAGTTCGGGTAGTTTTTGTACCATGACACTCAATAATTCACCACTTGTCCAAAACGGCTGAACTCGATTGTTTCATCAAAAGATGAGTCTTTCACAAGAACAAATTCACAGCGAGTGTCACCAAAATACATCAAACTATTCTCCCGATGTTTCAAAAAATATATTTTTATCTCCTCTTTTTTCAAACCCTATACAGAAATAATTTCCATAAAGTTACGTGATAGACAGCATACATATTACTATTGTTTTATACATTTTATCCTTGGAATCCCAGATAATTAGTATCATAAAAGCACATAACATACGATAAAGTGATGGCTTTGTTTATATTTGGAATGATATGGATTAAATGTAATAATATTATTATTGACGCTTTTGAAACATTTCCACTTGTTCAGATGCATGAATACTCGGTTTACTCTCTTTGACAAAGTCGTAGCCAATGAAGTACCTACTCGACAGGTGACCCAAAAATACCTTATCGTTGACTTGAATTTAGTTATAATGTTGTTCAAATTTTAGTTTAATGCGTAGCAGGCAGATGCCAAGGTTAATTATTGATTGAGGATGTGAATATATTGGAAGACATTCTTTTGCTACACCTTCTGCAGGTGGTAGGTACGACTATGTTTAACTAGTCAGTTCTTCACTACATGATATCTACATAATTTTTCTAATGAATCAAGTATTTGAAAAATATAAAACACTCATTGTGTGCTTGACTTCCTTTGACTTTCACTTATTAATGTAGTAAAGCTATCGCACTAAGCCCATAATTTTCTTTATTTATTTCTGCATTTGATTACGGCTATACATTATTTATGCCTTAAGTTCAAATTGGCAATGGGGAATTCGAAATGTAGTTATTAGCAGATGTTTCCAAACTCTTTTTTTTTAGATTTAAAGCTTGACTGATTTATTCGCCTTAAAACGTTTGCTTGATTGAAACGGTGGATTTATATCAACCAACTCAATCTTTTCATTTTACTGACAACATAATAATGAGACTTAGATTCCTAAAAACTCGATTTCAAATGCGTAAAGCAATATGAATTTGATGTAGGTTTCACAGATCTTAATTTCGTGTGCCTACTGTTTTATAATTATAATACGTAGGAATAACAGTCAACCAGAAGCAGATATGTCCCAAAGATGATTTTATTTGTATTTTTATCGAAACTATTGGTAGAAAATATTACAAACATTTTTGTCAAAAAAATGAACCTTAGCAAAAGCGAACAAGCGATAATCTTTTTATAAAAACATATTTTTTAAGCGTTTTCTTATTATAAAATGAGCGACATGGTCAAAGTCTTAGGCCTTCTTCGGCCGAATTTTGTTCCTCAGAAATCGGACGAGAAGAAGAGAAATCAGAGGTTTTGAGCTGAGCTCTTGATCCTTCGCTAATCCATGGCTCTGAAGTAGGAACAAATCCAACACTCTTCCGATATTATAAAAAAAAAATTAAGTTTAGTTCATGTAAATAATTAATTAATATCTAACATTATTAATTGACCAAACCACCCAAGCATAATTTTTTTGGTAAAATTATAGATTCTACAAGATTTTATAAAGAGCAGAAAAATGTCAAGAAAAGATTAGTGTATCCTCTATTAGTATTCCTATTAGTGAGTTGATTCCAGAGACCAAATAAAAAGATTTGGTAGTTTTTCTACTAAGACACGTGAGAATTCACCACTTCTCCAATGCAAAGCGGATGAACTCGGCTGCTTCATCAAACTATGAGTCTTAGATAAGAGAAAATTAGCAGCAATTTTCTTTACAATCCGTCGTACTATTCTCTCGATAGTTTAAAAACAAATATTTTGACTTTGGCCAACAATAGCAGATGAGCTAGACATTTGTTCTTAATAAAACGGTCACACCGTCTTATTGTGAAACAAATTCATAGCACTGCTATCAATAACCAAATTCAAATTTTGTTACACGGGCTCACCATGTATATCACAAGTGCTACTAAGAATTTGTCGCTTTAAAATTGATGCTACACGTTTCAAGTGTGTTTGATGTATAAAATCCAGTTGATTTTCATGTGTACCTACTCCTTTTCAAACTTTCAGGCTTAAATATTGTGAAACACGGCACTTGTAAAGTTAGTTACGATTAGAAAATTACTTAAACTTTGAAGATTATAATCTTGCAAGCATTCAGTTTCTGCGCAATTTTTAATTATTTGATAATTTTTTTTTATTTAAATAGGGTCTACAGATAAATTGAAATATTTTATTGTTGCCGTAAAATTAACACCACACTCTCTTCAAAAGCAGTATCTAATTATGACAATATAGATCAAGATAAATTTAAAATTAATTAAAACCGCATTTAAATTAAAACTATAATTTGCATAAGAACTATTTAAGGACACTTACATTTTGTGCATGTCGGCATCTTTGCGTTATTTTCTAAATTCATTGAGCAATCAAGTATTGGTTTTAGGCTATTTTCCGTCAAACAACTATTGATTCTTTCCTTAATATTCTTACCTCTTTTTGATATTGATTCATCTTTCTTGAACATCTCGTTTTTGACGGCTAAAGGGGCCTTTTCGCGGGCATTGAGAAAGTACGCTTTTTCTTCATCTCTCTTGTACAGGGTCATCAAAAAACCACCTCCCAATCCCATACTTTGCATTGTCACCACTCCGTTGCAAAACATGGTAGCGATTGCTGCATCGACTGCAGTTCCATTTTTCTCCAGTATGTCTCTGGAAAAAATAAAAGTAGAGATGTTAATAATAATGAACATTGTAATTTGGACGCGCCCGTTTTGGTGGGCAAAAATTGCAACTATTTGTGCAAAGTGAGATTTGGTGAGATCTACTAAAAGAGCTTTGGTCCAAAAAAACTGGTTTAATAATAGTAATAACAGTATGGATCGAAAAGATATTCTAAATATCGATACCGAAAGTATCTTAAATTTTTGTAAATGTTGAATTATATTATATTAAATTAATTAATGATTAGTTACTAAAATAAACTTAATAATCAATACTGACACGCCGTATAAATATTGTACCGTGGATGGCCGAGTATTAAACTCTTTCTTCTGCTTCCAACTTTTATTCCACTCGGTACAACTTTAAATGCGGAACAGGAACAAACTAACTTCCAAAAAATTACCGTCAACTTCACAAACAATAACAAAAACACACGGAAAACTCGCTCTTCAGACTCGCGGGGCTTAACCTCTTCTGCACCCGGTCGCTGCTTTCACTTCACTACTCCCGTCTTGATGTTTTGGATATTTTACTAGAGCTAGTTCGTTGGAACTTTTGCTCTTTTTTGACTGCCCTTTTCGGGACTTTTAAGTTTTAAATTTGGAAGAGTTTACTTTAATTGAGTACTTTGAAGAAGTGACCAGTGGATTTTTTTTCCCGTGGCACCTCTGGTTGGGGTTAGGGGGGGGAAGGGGGGAAGAAAAAAGGGGGGGTTTGTGTGGGGGTTTTGGGGAGCTAATCCCAGTTAAGGGGGGCCATGATGGTTTTCTGGCACTGGTCATTGCTAGGAAGTTTAAAGGTGTTTTGGACTAATGGGTTTGGGTGGTTAAGGACTTTAGCTTTGAATTTCGCGTGTTTTTTAGTCAGGAATTCAGGGATAGTGTCAGTTTTTAGGTCGTTGTGGATGTCTTTGTTACGTACGTACCAAGGAGCGTGACAGAT